CTACACAGCCTTTCTGGCAGCCATGGAGACATGCCATCGGAATCAATCTGCTTCCAAGAGTGCAGTTTAGCTGACAGCTTCCTCATTCATGATCCACTGCAACACTAAAGCCAAGCTTATGCTGTCCCAGACTGCTCCCAGCCAAAGATCAAGCATGGTTGGGACCAGAGAAGGACAATTTCTGCCCAGTTCGATCCCCCTAACAGGCAATCTTTGTTCTGGGTGCCCCATCAACCTGACAAGCTTTCTCAGAACGTCACTGAAGTCTAAGATTCTTCCTCCTCAATCCTCCTGCCTTCCATTCACAGGTGTCAGACTTATATTGCAGTCTAAAGGCTCTTCCTGCCTGCTCAAACTCTCTTTATCTTCCTTGGATGTTCTCTCTTATAAATCTCTCGCTGCTAATTCTGTCTTCTGTCTGCTGAGCTGACATAGCCTTCCAATGATTATCAACTTATCACAGCCAAAAGGATAGATCTGATTTATCCACATCTACAGAAAATTAGATCCTTGGCCTTCTAAATGGGTAACTTTTATCTAATTCTACATTCCACGGCTGACCCACATTTCTAGGTTTCTTTTTGTTTTCTTGGATGCAGTTTCCAGTTTTATAAAGCAATAGTACAGGTTACAAATGGACAGTTAAATAAATGATCAATATATTACAACCCAAAAGACAATTTTTTTACTTCATTTCTACATATTCTACATAAAACAATTCTACATATGAGAATTCTTAGTAAAATAAAATACCTCAGAGAAACAGCCTGTAATTAGGATTCATAGTAGAAAAAATACATCTATCGGCCTGAATTTTACACCTTCTAAGGCTAGAGCACCATCTCACACAATATCTCAATTCCTCACAAGATCCTTCCAATATTTCATGTTACAAATCTCAGAGAAGTTCTGAGAAGCTACCGGCCCCAAGTAAAGAACAGGCAGTATCAAACCCCAGTACAAATGATGGCAAGTCCGGTATCTCTTTCCACTATCTAATATTGCCCCTATGTTGACATATAAAGGTTAAAAATTTTCTTCAATGTACTTTTCAATGCATTATTAGCTCTCTTGTTGCCGAAAAAAAAATATTTCAGTCAGTCATTCTCTGATCCCACTTTACCTCTGATTTCATCTGAAATAAGGTCAAGAAAATTATTTATATATTATTATATAGTACACGTATATAGTAAATATATTGTAAATATATATGTGTACTATATTATGTATTTATAAATACGATATACTCGAATAAAATCAACTATATAAGTTTGTCCCAATTATTATTCCATACTATATCTTTATACTTTTCCTATATGGGGTGAATTTGAAGTACTTCAGTTTATTCTAATGCTATTGAACACATGAACAAAACATTTTTTATTCTAATGCTATTGATCACATGAACAAAACATTTTTTTAATCACAATTTACAAAGATCATCATTTATGTTAAAGCTCAATACTTCCATTGTTGGCTGGCTTTATGATTTGCATTCATGATGTGTATATTTGTTACGCTTCTTTTTGTGAATAAGGATGAAAGAAACCATAAATGTAGTGAGGTTAATTTTACAAAAATAAAACGTTTTACAAAAATTTCTTCCTTATTATTCGAATAATTACTTATGGATCTGAGCTCTTAAATTACCCTTCCAGTAAGGGGAAGGATGTCATCACAGCACGAATGCTGCTGAAAGCTGCCCTCTGCTTCTTTTTCCTCTTAAGGAACAAACTGGTTGAGGAAAGAAAAGAAAACACAGTGATCATGACCATAGCAAGAAAAATTGCTACAAATAAGTTGCACTTGTGTAAATATTGGGCTCCCTTATCAGAGCCTAAACCTAGCATCCCTCAGCCACCTTTTAGGGCCTCTATGGCAGTGGGCAACTTTGCAAGATAAACTTGCTCTAGTTAAGATCACCCCTTTATTTGAGATGTTCAAGGTAAAGCTGACCTTAATAGACATCCTTGCAAATCCTTTGATGAAATTTCTCACCGGACTACCTTTGGTCAAGATGGCATAATTTAGCCACTAAACTCAACCTCTACATTTACACTGTCAAATCTAGTAGCCACTAGACACATCTGGCTATTTAAATTTAAATTAATTAAAATTAAAAGTTCAGTTCCTGAGTTGAAATAGGCACATTTCAAGTGCTCACTCAATGGCCACAGGTGGCTAGTGACCACTATACTAAACATCACAGATACACAACATTTCTATCACTGAAAAAAGTTCTATGGGACAACACTCATAGTAAATAAACTTGGTATTTTTATTTCATCTGGCTAGAAGATGGAAAGATTATATGGGTGACTAATGGAGAATATAAATGAAGGCCACCTAAAACTGGAAGGCTCCTTCTTTGCCAATGGAAATCACACGTATTGGCACTTGTCACTTTGAACCCAGAATACTTCCAGGTATGTGAGAAGGGACACTTGAGAGCTGATGAACACACAGACTCAGCAACCATGCACTTGGTGGTGGCTTATTGCTTGTATCCTTCGCTCATAATTAGTCAACTTGGCTTATTTTACTAATGTATGTTTGTTTCACATGTCATGATTCATAATCTTGTGCTATATCTCAGGTTAAGAGCTATGATTCCAGAATACTGCTCAAATTAAGGCAACCGAATATTATAGATATATTATAATTTATTTAATCATAAATCTATTGATATATTTTGGGCTGCTTTAGATATTCTTTCACAAATGAGAGTACAATGAATGCTCATGTACATAAACCTTTTATACATTCCTATATTATTCTGTAGGATAGAATTCCAAAGTGGTTTTGCTGAGTCTTAAGGTTATGAACACTTGTAATTTTAGATACTGCAAATTACGTTTCTAGAGTTGAACCAATGTATTTCCCTCTAATAGTATATATAGTAAAGGCCCTTTTATCCACATTATTTCCATCACTAGATATTACCTTCTTATTAATTTTTGTCAATATGATGGTTTTTACTTGCTTCTTCTTCATCATTAGTGTGGCCAAAGATCTATTTATATGTTAATTGATTATTTGAAAGTCCATAAATTGTCTTTTTCATACATAGTCTTTTTATACACTCGCCATTTATTAATATTTATAGGACAGTTTGTCTTTTGTTGATTGATTTGTAGGAGATGTTGGTTTACTAGTGTTTGTGTTTTATGCACTGCAAAGATCTGTCTTCCTCATCCCAGCTCCATCCTCCTCACTGCTTCTGTCTTTTAACTTGGTTTAAGATGTCTTTTGACACCTGTTACGTTTTTATGTAATCAAATATGTCAATCATTTTTTCTTTAAGACTTTTTTCTTTAAGGTTTTAAGTCCTTCTTAATAAGTTGTTTCCCATTCTAAGATTATAAACATATCTTTCTATGTTTTCTTTTAAACTTTTAATATTTTCTTTTTAGATATAAAATTATAGTCTATCTGAAATTAATTTTTTTATATGGTAAGAGATAAAGCTCCAACTTAATATTCTTACAAATAGGTAGTTGTTTCTGTATCATTTAGGGGAAATTATCTTTTCTCCACTGATTTGAAAAGTCATATTTATCATGTATTAATATTTTATAAATACTTTAGTCTGTTTCTGGACTATTTTGTTTTAAATAGCAACTTACCTACACTATTCTATCTTGTAGATTATAAAAAAGTACATGAACTTGAGGGAACTCAAGGTTCTAATTCTAATAAAAACTCCTTATTTTAATCATCAACGCCATAGTCAGTGATTTGGTAAACATATTCAGGGCTTACAGTATGTTTTTCAATCTATGTCTGTTACCAGCCTTGCTATACCCTCCTCAACAGCAGCACAATATTTAGTACATGGCAGAACACTAAGTAATTATTTATTGAATATATTAATAAGCAATAGTGAGTTCAGTTTACTCAGATGAAAGTATATAATTTAAATATCATCATTTGATCAGTGTCAACTTTCAGCTTATTAGCAATAAATCCTAGAAAGGGGAAATAATAGCTTGCGTTAATGAAGGAATACAACAACTTCACTAAGGCTGCTAAAATAGTTTATCTCCCCCAAAATAATATCGCTGTGCATTTGAAGGGTTCCTCTGGCTGCTGGCCACCAACCTCTCCTACATACTCTCCAACACAGCTATTCCACACCTTTTACTGTCTCCCCAAACTTCTGAAAGGCCCTCCCCATCAGAAGAAAACCTTCACATCTTCCCTCCACACTGACATGGCCTCTGCAGTCGCACCTATGCAAATAAATGCTCCTGGTTAAGACAAACTTTCCCAGTTTACTTACTCAAAAACTTTCTATCACCTCTCTTTCCTCTCTTCTAAAGCATTCTCATCTGCACACAAACAACTGTAAATCTCTTCATCTTTAAAGAAAAATCTGTCATTAATGGACATCGCTCTCTAGCTACCACCACATTTTGCTTTCCCCTCTATAGCTAAATTCCTTGAAAAAATGCCTGGTCTATGCCCATGCCACCCTGAACAAGCCTGATCTCATCTGATTTCGGAAGCTAAGCAGGGCTGGGCTTGGTTAGTACTTGGATGGGAGACCACCTAGGAAAACCTGATGCTGTAGGCATAAAAAATAAAAAATAAGGGATTGTAAACTGACAAGGTCCTTGCAATCTGTGAGGTCAACCAAGGGTTGCCTCGCCAAAAATAATAATAATAATAATAATCTTCCCAGAAATAATGAGTGTCCCAAAAGAGAAAAATTAAAAAGAAAAAATGCCTGTACTAGCTGTGTTTTTTTCCTCTCTATCACTCTTAAACCTGCTCCATTCATTTTTGTAAGCTCTACAAGACCATGGCTTTTATTTTAATTCACTTTTTTAACCTTGGAACATAGAACAATGCCTGAAACATAGTAGATTGCAATAAATATTGTTGAAGAGATGAGTAAACAAATGTACATGTATATAGTTTGACTATAAATGTGGCTTAATGATCCTAGCTTAATACATAATCCAAAAGGGCAAACTTGTTTTGGGCATATTACTCACTTTTCGTTGTTTTACAGAGTCCAATTTTATTAGCCAATATGAAGCAACTTTCGTTTTATGATACTTCCAGTTATCAATGATCTGTTGTGAGAAACATTGAGAAATTTAAACTAGAATTTTCCTCAAAAGTAACAAATAAAAAGTAAACAGGTTAAAACCAATTTTATTAATGAATTTGTGAAATGAAAGTACTATAATATTACTTGCAATAGAGAATGTCTACTCTCATAAAAAGCATGTGCCAAGATTTCTAACATAAAAAAGCCATCAGAATCCAAAGCTTTCTCTTCTTGCTATAAAAAGTACACAATCTAATGAATGACAGTCAAATGTCTTCAGGCACATAAGATTTGGAAGAAAAACCCTAAATGTAGATTTCCATTTTAATTCTAAAGGCTATATTTACCATATCACCCACAATAACAGAATGTTAAATAATACATTAGAAAACAGCCTATATATGATTAGACTTCTATTATCCCTTTGTTTTTTATGCAAATCTGTAAAATTTATGAATGTATATTCTAGCAATACATACTGTAGCAAACAGATTAAAATATTTGCTGCATATAGTAAACATACAGTAAACAATCTAATGTCTGATATAATTATTAATTATATTTCATTAATTACATAAGCATATATATATGTTCTTTATAGAACAATCACATTAACCACAAATATTACTTCTATTCTTTGATTACCTCTTTTTTCCTACCTGATTCAAAAACGTTACCACAAATATTTCTAAGAAATATAAGTAAAATGTCTGATATAAAGTCATTGGCTATACTTAGAAAAAGATTTGATTGAATAAGATAACATATGTAAATAAAAGGAGATCTAACATAATGCTTTACAACTAATAGTCATTTTTATCCCTTTTCCCTTGATGTAACAAATAGCAAGCAGCTCATTTGCAAAAGAAGCCATTTTCACTTTTAAAAGAATATATAACACCACAATGCATAATAGATGAGGGCTTTGGTTATAACTATGATTACAAAATAGAAATTGCCATTATTGATTTTTTTTTTAAACTAAGAAAGTCATTTTGTTATTATTTGTTTGGTGTTTGTTTCTAGACAGGGGCTTTAGGCAAAAGTAATGTTAAAAGCCAAGTGCACAGCTGTGGCTTTTATCCTACAAATGGCCACTAGATGGTGCCTTCTCCTCTGGAAAAAAAAAAAAAAAATACATAAGGAAACCAGAAATCAAAGCTCTGTTACTAAGGAATTATCTAGTAATGACAACCTGAAAAGGACGTTTGAATGAAGAAATAGAACTTTGAATGAAGAAATGTTCTTTCTCCAAAAATATTTAAATCACTTGGACCTTTTTTCTAAATTAGAAGAAGTCATTGACTTTAATGTGAATTTTAGGACTCTGCCATCTTAGAATGTTCCTCTGGGTGGTGCAAATGTGTGTGTAGCAAGAAAACACACACAACATAAGCATTTCAAAATCTGACCAAAACCACTCAGGGTGTCACATCCAAATAGTCTTGATATTTTATGCCCATGGTCCCATTTTTTTCAATACAGTTCATTCCATATCGAATCCTTCTAAATCATTAAAAAAGCAGGTTTGATTTGATATTTCTTTAATCTCCGAAGGATAATAATTATTTAATATGAATTATTTTCACTGGATGAAGCCGTTGCATCATTAAAACAGAACTATACACTGAAAAATATATTTTGCATTGCTGATTATAAATGTGATCTCACTGCTCATGAATCATAATAATTAATATAACTGCCATATTTTCTAAAGCTTGCAGAGGTTGAAAAGAACATCAGTTAAGTTTATTATGGTGCTGAGAATAATGTACATCATGAGATAAAGAAAGAATAAAAAGGTATAAGCTCCTTGGAATTTTCTATACATCAAATACTCACATCTTCCACCAGAAGTAACGATTCTGCATCTGATTTTCCTGGAAATCGGATCTTCATATCCTTGAGAACAAATAAGGTCTGACTTGTTAGATCATCTTCTTGTTCTTTTGTTCTCAGTTGCTGCAAAGACTCACTCTTAAATTTGAAAGAATACAGATATTTGGAGGGGGGTCTTATTTCATTGTGCCACTATAATCTGAAAGATATTTCTAGGTAAAAATGATGCACTTTTAATTGAAAAAAACATTGAAAAAGGAAGAAATTAATTTTTTACGTTGATTCTTAGAATTAAATTCTTAAGATTTAATTGTTATAATTTCCCAAAAATGTCTTTCAAACTTCCACACAGTACTAAAATAAAAATATGAGTGTTTAAAAAAAAAGACTTCCTAGTCAGAAGTTTCATTCGTTACATATACCGTAGGCAATTCTTGATTAGGAAAAAAAGGAAACCATTGTTACCAAGTGAAATTCATTCGATTATATTTTCCAGACTCTTCGATTTGGAAACATTATCCACATTAAATAAATTAAATAAATCCCTGGTCTTTTGGGAGCTATCTATTTGAGCATCTACAAGTAAGTCTGGTTACAAAATAAATTCACTGACTTCCTCAATACTGAATCTCTAGGATTCATGCTAAAAAGGAAATACTATATGTTAATTTAATATACAAAAATCATAATCGATGTTGTACTTCAGTGCTCTAAGGATAATTTATCAGTGATTTATTTTTTAACCTATTAGTTAATAGTCCCATTAAGGAGAATTTCTCATACAACATATTTCCCCAAATTTACAGATATATTGCATAATACACTGCAAAATCATATATTTACTCAAACGATTTTCAATAAAATTATCAAACTCCATAAACAAATGGAAAATAAAATCCTATTCTCAGTGTCCATCCTCGAAATCTGTGATATACTGAAGTCCACATTTTAAGAGTCCAGACCAAGTTATAGATTAAGATAGATTGAATAATACAAACAAATTCCAGGAGACCATGAGTTGAATGATAGAAAAGATCTGAGGTTCAATCTGTCTTCCCAGCTGATTCCTTTGCCACCTAAATCCTGAGTGCAGTGCTTCCTGTAATCTCAAATGAGCAAAGTAGATGACTTACCATCTGAGAGCTAGTAGAGCTGGCATCATTACTATGAGGCAGATGCCTCATGTAGGAGGAAGCACGGTTTAAGGAATGTGACCGAGACCCTGAAGTTGCCCGGGATGCTGATATCATCTGTTGAGCAGAAAAGGGGCGGATGTCCGCACTGGAAGATGATTGAGAAGAGATAGACCGAGGGCAACTGAATGAGCGCCTTATGGAGCCTACCAATGATGAAGAAGAGGGATAATATAGTAGCAGTTAGTAAAATTTTCCCACTGCATATGGTCTTTATAAACTAATAATTAGACTAATGGCATGGCAATAAATGTCAAAGCATAGGTATCATCATGAAAACATAAGTTTGGAGTTAATTCTTCAACTTAAACAGTGAACTTGGTGCAGAACCCCTATCATGTACAAAGAATGGCTATCATGAAAATAATACTTAAACAGTACTTTAATGTTCTGTTCTCGAAGCATGCCATAAAAGGACCAGAAGAAAGGAAAACTAACATTTATAGAGCGCTTTCTATAGCGCACAAGCATCCTGTGAGGTGCTATATTTTCATCTTAATCCTCATAGGAACCTTCTGAAGTAGGAACCTCCATCACCTGGAGACTCACAGAAAGAACTTTCTGAAGGTCGCACGACAAAAAATGGCCAAACTCAGGTTTAAATCCTGACCTATCTAATGTCAGTGTCCTCTCTCTTCTTAACACCATGATACTATCCACTGTCTTTGGACTAGACTGGTCATTTATTAGAATCTGTGTATAGAATATTTTACTCATAGGGAGGGATGAAAAGGAGTCTAGAGAATCGCCAGGATGAATGAATGGGTTATAGAATTTTGGGCCCATGAGAAAAAAATAAAACAAGAAAACATAAAGATTGTCCTAATGGAGCTTAAATACATAACTGGTTATTACAAGAGTGGTACTAGACAGATAGTCATCTTATTCACAGGAGAGAAGAATTTAAAAATCTAGATTTAAATTCCCATAGTAAAAGGTTTAAGTGAAGAAATAATGACTAGATCTAAAGGGTTCTTATCAGAACAGGTAGAAAAAACCATAGAATATCTTCCCCAGTGTATATTGAGAACATTTAGAAGAGAGAACCAACTATTCCAGGTAAATTTTGATTCCTGACAAAGGAAAATAGAATATCATTCAATTATCAACATTTATGTCTTTTTTTGGCTTATATAATTTATATACCCTCTGTGCTATATTTTCTCCTTGCTTGGGGACTATATCAATCTTCATTAATTAAATAATTTAATAAAACTCACATGAAGGCTGGTTGAATACCCAAATATTTCTCTTCATTAGCTGTTGAAAAAAATTTAAACCTTTATAAAGGTAATGGACATAAACCTTATATTTAGGGATTTATTTTGAATAGATAGTAAGCCTAGTACTCCTCATTAGGTTCAGAGTACCAAAAAAGTATACTCATTCAAGCTATGAAAAAGGGTTAAAAAAAATCCATTTGTTCCAATTAGTATCTTCCTTCTGAACCTAAAAATCACACCCTTTTTGAAATGACTGTACTTCTAGAGAAGGGCCATGTAGGGAACATACCACTGGTCAATCTTCTACCAAGTACCCAAAAGCATGTACTACATACAGTCTTCCCCCGGGTCCTGCTCTCTTTTAGGGCTGAAGGTCATGGTTTGGACATGTAATATCTGGTCATGCATGCAAAAGGAAAAATATCCTTTCTCTTGAATAACTAAAGATTCTCATTTTTTCCCTGAATGCACTGGAAATTCAGACAGAATAACTAGGTAACTAGACTTGCCAATGATACTTATGTAGATTAACAAAAAATGGTTGTAACTTGCATACACAAATTATATGAAAAAATATCTGATATAGTTTTGTATATGACTACCTTATATCAAACCAAAATTATTCCTTGCAACTGTAACAAGTTTGAATTTCCTAAGTTAACTATCTACAACAGAAAGTGTTACACATAATCTTGGTTTTGTCCTTGGTCATCAGCATCACTTTAGACAGAAAACTCAAGGTAGGTTTGTGGATATGATATTCCTTAGTGTAAGATTAAAGAGAGAATATAAAACAAAGTGAAGCCATTCCTAATGACTATAAAAATAAAATAAAGTAATAAGGAAAAAGATATGTAACTGAATCAGACTAGCTTTAAAATGAGAATTAACACTTAAAAACATTTTTAGTACACTATTTGTCCAAGCTCAATTTATTAACTTATTGGTCTAACAAAGAACAATCTCAGAGCTATAGGAACCTGAGCAATTTTTTCTCAACCCTCTTATCCACCATTAGTTCATGCTATTAGGGATGCACACATTAGCCAGTAGGGGTTTAAAAACTGATGACATCTGGGCAGAACAAGGTCAGCTTCCAAAAGAGGAAAAGTCACATTTACAAAGAGACACACTGGAAGTACTTAAGATGTCTTTAAGAAAAAAGGAAGTAACTGATAAAATAGCTTGTAAACTCTGGAGCAGGTGCTCGATAAATATAGCTTATATGAGTGAATAAGTAAACTAATGATAGGGAACATACTACATTACTTCCCCTCCAAACACATAAATGCTCAAAGACAGGAACATCAGCAGGCACCTTTACGCAATAATTTAGAAGTAAATGAAAGACTAGTAAAATCTTCGTCTATTAGTTCTATATTTCTCATGCATGTTGTCATACTTGTGGAAGGCCAGGTTTAAAATATACACATTATCTGAGAAGCTAACATATTAAACCATTGCTGAAGATCAACAAAAGCTCACAATTATGTTTATCGCATAACTGAACCAGTACCTTTGGGGGAGTCCCAGGATAATGAAGGGCAAGGCAAACAAAGATATGAGAGACAGAACTTAAGAATACTCCCTGCATTGGAAGCCGCATCAGAAAGGAGTATCCAGCTGAGCCTGGGCAAACGGTGATACCACACTGGACATTTGGGGATGAAAGAAGAATCACGGACACGGTGGTGGACATTAGGGATCAACGAAGAAATAAAAGACAGCAGAACGGAAGAGAAAAAAATGTGAAAAGAAATAAAGGAAGAAAGAGAAAAAAGGAAGCAGAAAGGGAAGGAGACGGAGAAGCTGGTTATTCACTCTCCTGCATAGCTGTGGCACACCAAAAGCCCTGACTTAAGTGCTTACCCGTGATGAAAATGGGAGGGAACAAAACTATTTCACAATTGTGTGGCTCAGAGATACATTCAAGTCAAATACCTAGAGAGACACACACATTTTAAAATGCAGGTGAAAATACACAAC